GCAGCAGCAGCAGCAGCAGCAGCAGCAGCTGAACAGCAACACCTCGTATTTCTGCAGCAACAGCAGAATCGGAGGCAGCAACAGCTGCAGCAGCAAACGAAGCACCAGCAGCAGCAGCACCACCAACACCAACACCAGCAGCAGCAGCAACAGCAGCAGCAACAGCAGCAGCAGCAGCAGCAGCAGCAGCAGCAGTACCCTGGTGTATCGATAAGATTAAATGCAAATTGACGCCAAGGGAAACGAGAAGCAGCAGCTTGTATTGTAATACCCCTTTCTCTCTCCTGAAACCACAAACCCTAAACCCTAAACCCTAAACCCTAAACCCTAAACCCTAAACCCTAAACCCTAAACACGCCATAGAAGCTCGCCCCCCGCCCACTAACGCAGAAGCAGCACAGTAACAGCAGTTATATTTGCTGCTTCTGCTGCTGTTGTTTCTGCTGCTGCTGCTGCACTTGCTGCTGCTGCTGCTGCTGCTGCTGCCATTTGGTCCGTTGGCCGGGGGTTTAGGGTTTAGGGTTTAGGGTTTAGGGTGTATTGTCAAGGGTTTGGGTTTAGGGTTTATTGTGAAGGGTTTAGCGTCTGCTTTCAAGGGTTTACGCTTTACGTTTCAGGGTTTATTGTTTAGGGTTTAGGGTTTATTGTTTAGGGTTTAGGGTTTATTGTGAAGGGTTTAGGGTTTATTGTGAAGGGTTTAGGGTTCTTTGAGAAAGGCTGAGGGTTTAGGGTTTAGGGTTTAGGGTTGTTTGTGAAGAGCTGAGGGTTTAGGGTTTAGGGTTGTTTGTGAAAGGTTGAGGGTTTAGGGTTTAGGGTGTATTGTTTAGGGTTTAGGGTTCTTTGAGAAAGGCTGAGGGTTTAGGGTTTAGGGTTTAGGGTTTAGGGTTTATACCTGCTGTAGAAAGTCAAGAGCTGTGGTGCCTTCATCTACGTTTCCTTTTGCTGCTAGCTGCTGCGACAGCAGCAGCAAGCTCTCTCCTGTTGTTGTCTTTCCTGCATCTATGTGAGCCATCAGTGATATATTTCGTATTCTTGCTGCTGCTGCTGCTGCTGCTGCTGCTGCTGCTGCTGCTGGTGCTGCTGGTGCTGGTGCTGCTGCTGCTGGTGATGGTGCTGGTGATGGGCTGGGTGCTGCTGCTGCTGCTGCTGCTGCAGTTGAGTGGTTGTGCACACAGCGACGGGTTGCAGCAGCAAACGGATCAGCTGCTGCTGTTGCTGCTGTTGCTGCTGCTGCTGCTGCTGCTGCTGCTGCTGCTGTTGGGGTTTGTTTGGTGGTGATGCACCTCGCAGCTTGCTGCTGCCACGGCGTCAGCTGCCTATACACCTCAACACCCCCGGACAAACAGCAGCAGCAGCAGCAGCAGCAGCTATTGAAGCTGCTGCTGCTGCTGCTGCTGCTGCTGCTGCGAATGCGGATAAGTGCATGGCGCCGAGGGAGAGGAGCGGCAGCAGCAGCAGTTGCTGCTGCTGCTGCTGCAACTGGAGCAGGACCTGCTGCTGCTGCTGCTGCTGTTGCTGTTGCTGCTGTGAACACGGTTCGTGCTGCTGCTGCAGCATCTGCTGCAGCAGCAGCTGCTGCTGCCTTTGCTAGG